ATCACATTGTGAGCACAATCGCGGTGCTCTTCGATTTCTCTCACCTTAATTCGAGGTGAATTGTCTTTTCAGCCATCATGAGAACGAGGATGCCATCGTTTTCCCGCTTTTCGCCACCATCGGAGTGGACATGACCCAATATGAGGACGACCACACTGTAAGTACTCTTGTTTGGGGACGACATCAATCGCTTTTACTCAACGTGTCTTGAAATTAACTAGGTGCTCCACAAAATCCTTGAAGAGTTCACAAATATGCTCAAAGCACTTTCTTCCCGACGAGACGTACCAATCTCTGAAGCTTACGACGAGCAATTCTCTCACAAAGTAATTGACTACACAACAAAAATCAAGGTAAGCTACCAGTGTGCTTGTCTTATCTTCCAGACAGACTGCTAATCGCGGATATCGATGTGAATGGCTTGTACCCAGGACTTCTTATTCCCTCACCTCGCCCAGGAGGAAGCTCTCGCCACGTTAGAGTTCTGGATGCGCTTCTCGGAAGAAGAGATGCTGGATATGCGCAAGGTGCGTTCCCTCCCGGTCCCTGCGTAAAAAGTGTCGAGCCATCAACTGAAACGTTCCCCCTTCCACCTCCCACAGCGCCTCTTTGTCCGTGTTCAATCTGAGCCACCATTCACCTCTCTCCCCTTCATGCTGTACCACATCCCCGCCGCCTCTCGAAATGTCCTTGTCGGCGACACCTTACCCTGGGTCCTGCGAAAAATCGCAATACCTTATGTCATCGCACCGTGGTATAAAGGATCCTGGAAGTACGCGACTCAGTATGGGAAGGGAGAGATTGAGTTGTAAGGTGCTGGTCTGGCCGCAGTCTCATGGAGGGGAAGGAAAAACGGGGTGTAATGTCGCATTGTTACACCCGTGCATTTCGAAATTGCTGTATTTGTATGTTTTCGTATTAGAATTTCCGAAATAGATTATCGTGAGCACTCTGAACATAAGATGGCTGTGTACGAGGGGCGAGGGGGGCATTCATTTGGAGAGAAACGAGGTCCGAGCCTTCCGGTTGCCAGAAGTCCCGACACGCACTGAGTGAGCGACAACTACACCTTTCGTATCCTTTCGCGCCAATTTTCCATCCTAAAGGACTTTCGAATACATGAATATCCGATATGACAGAAAGCTCAAAATTCCTTTTTTGGGGGCTGTATCGATGCTCAATTTTAAATGAAAGTTTATAGTTTTTAAAAGAGACTTCAATGATAGCTACGGCCATATGCACGGAAAAGTGCCGCTTCCCGTCCGATCAGCGCAGCGAAGCCCGTGACAGCCCAGTCAGTACTAGCGTGAGAGATCAGCTGGGAATACTGGGTGCTGTAGTTTTACTGTTTTAGAGTCCGAAGTTCAATTGACGAAAATCACTTTATTTTGGGAGAGCTTGTTCTCTTCGCTCTCAGATTTCCACCTTCTTTGTATTTCATCACGCATTATTCATTAGTTTCTATCTAACAGACAGGGTGTTTTATGCTGCGGAGCTGTTCTGGATATTGTTGTTCCCTTTTTGTGAGAAAAGATGATCATCAAATTCGTTCTGAAACCTGCAACGTAGCAATCGCAAACTCACCACTCTCTGTTGTTGACTTCTTGGGATCTGCAGTCGCCTTGTGNAAGAAACTTGAGCGAGCAGTGGTGCTTCCGGCTTCCTGACTTGATTTCGCCTTGGCTGCGGAAGCCTTATCCAAGCGACTGTAGACTGACATCATGCAATACAAGCCTCCTGTGATGATGAAATTTGACGATCCGGAAAAGAGAATTCTCTGAAAGTCGATGTTCTGAATCGGCTGGGGAAGCTCTGTGAGCAGAATGATGACTTCAGCGAGAGAAGCGACGATTGTTGCCAGTACGCAGAGATCGACAATGAACGAGATCCAGTTGACTTCCTTCTTGTGCCATCGCAGAGAGTAAAANACGTAAAGAAAACGGAAGGACGTGACGACATCAACAAGCAGCTGGTAGCTGTAGATCGGGTACAGCGGCATGAGATCGTAGACCATCTGACATCCGATGAA